GAGCTGAACTGCAAACCCATGAGTTTTGGGTTATGTGTTATACATCTTTTTTTTTGTGTGGCAGTAGCACACACACCAAGCAGGTGAGGGTACACAGAGGTGGGAGCCAGAGGTAAGACTTAGCATAAGTTGCTCAGGGCCACTTAGTGTGGGTCCTTTTTGATCTACAGTAGTGGTGGTGGTAGAAGGGGCCAAGGTGTGTTAGAGACCTTCACTGTCTTTTCATGGACTTTAGAAATGTAACAGAAAATAGCTATAGTATAGAGGTGAGAAATAATTTTTATGAATGTTACATGGTAGATTTATTCTGTGAATTCTCATTTAATTATCATCTGACTGAAACCATAAGATATATAGAAGAAAATATAGGCAAAACATTATAAGACATACATCTCAGTATCATCTTTAAAGATATATAACCTAAAGAAATGAAAGTGAAGGAAAAGATGAACAGCTGGGAATATGTCAAATTAAAAAGCTTCTGTACAGTAAGAGATATTAACCAAAACAAAATGTTTGCACACACACTTCTACCGAGAAGGGGTTAATCACAAAGATCTACAAAGAACTGACAAGACTCAAATCCAGTCAAAAAATGGGCAGAAGAGCTAAAAAGACACTTCTCCAAAGAGGAAATGCAAATGGCCAATAGGTATGTGAAAAAATGTTCAACATAACTTGTAATCAGGGAAATGCAAATCAAAACCACAACGAGATAACATCTTACACCAGTGAGAATGGCACGTTAAAAAAAAAAAAAGGCAACAACAAATGTTGGCAAGGGTGTGGTGAAAAGGAACTCTCCTAGATTGTTGGTGGGAATGCAAACTTCTCCAACCACTGTGGAAAGCTACCTGGAGATTCCTCAAACTACTAAAAATGCAGCTTCCATATGACCCAGCAAGAACACTAATTCAAAAAGATACCAGCACCCCTATGTTCAATGCAGTCTATTTATAATAGGTAAGATACATAAACAACCTAAATGTCCAAAAATAGATGACTGGATCAAGATGATGTAGTATATACACATAGTGAAATACTTCTCAGCAAACAAAAAGATAAACTTGTGCCATTTGCAGCAACATGGATGAAATAGGAAGGAATTATCCACAGTGAAATAAGCCAGAAAGAAAAAAATTGACTGGTTTCATTTATAGGAGGAATGTAGGGAAATCAAATATGGGATCAAGAAAAAATAATTATAATAAATTAAGAAACAAAATTAATAGACAACTTTATCAATCAGAGACACTCTGCAGGGGAAAGGCAGGGAGAGGGATCAAAACAGGGGAGAGAGGAGCACAAGGGACTATGGTGATGGTGTGTGGGTGAGCTGGTGGTGGGAACTCTATGGGACTACAGCTGAGAGAAGAACGCATGCATTGTACAAAAAGGGGGAATAGTGCAAAATATATCTTCAAATATAATTTAAACTTTTAAAAATAATATTCATCACCTGAGCTCTATTTTGCAGATGAGGCAATTAAGTTTTCAGGCCTTCCCAGATCACACTTAGTGAGGAGTGGGCGGGAAAATCTTCTTCCTTCTGTCTCCTGCCCTGTGCTGTTCAGTGAGGCCTCCTGGCTCTGCCACAAAATGTCCACTTAACCTTGGAAAAATCACTATACTCTCTAGAGTACCATAAGAGGAGAGAAGAATCTCATGAGACCAGCTAAGGCTTAATTCATCTGAAATTATTAATAATTCAAATTATTAATAATCTGAAGGATTCTCACTGGGGAATCCTGGTTTGAAAGCTATGAATTCAAGAACCTCTTCAAGTCTTTAAGAAAGCTTGTTATGGGAGGAAAGTCAGTTAGACTTGAGTTTAGATATCAATTCTACTTATTAGTCATCACTTAATTGTTCTTGGTTCTAAATTTTCTCATCAGTCAAATAAGGGTTAGTAGGAGTTTTGTGGTACATCTTACTTAATGTCTGTAATACTCATGTTGGCAAGTTCAGCTGTGCTTGGTAGTCTGTATAAATCAACTGCTGTAAGTTCTGAATTCAAAGGGTATGTTTTGAATCAGGCTATGAAAACAATCTCCCCTCTCAGTGCTTCTCTACTTCACAAATCCCCTCCCTTTCTCCCCCCAACGCAAATATAATGGCAGCTGAAGAGCTGTAATGGAAAGCCAGTCTGAGGCCTCTTTGACCTGGACTTGATGGCTTCATCTTCCCTGCCTTGTAGGAATTTTCAGTACTTTAAGATAAGGATCACGAGAAACCCAAAACATTTCCAGTGGACCTAGTCTTTCTTCATATCAGGCATTCACAATTACTGCCTCAGCTCAGTCCATTTCCTACCAAGGATTTACATGTAAGTCATCTCTGAAATTTATTTGTGACCAAGGTTTTTACCTGTATCATCTGTAAATCAATGCCAAGGGTATTTTCTAAAGCTTCCAGTCACTTGGAACTCAGATGTTCTCCCTTGTCCAGTATCAGTATTTTAAGATTAAATACTAAAATTTCATATATGTTACATGTAAGCCAAAGTAATGTTAATAATGTTCCTATTATTGAAGGAACACAGACAATTACCTTGTTTAACATAGAAGGAACACAGAATAATTGAAGGCTAATACTAGAGAACAGAGGAGAGGTTGATTCCACAGTCAGACTGCTGGAGCAATGGCCAAATGGAACCAGTACCAGCCGTGCTGCATGAATTTACTCCATAAATTGTCCGCTTCCCTGTTCCTCTTCACTGACCTCTTGGGGAAGAAAGCACACTGGCAAAGTGTAAAGGATTAGGATAAAATGATGAGAAGCTGCCAGTTCCCAGGAATATGATCTTTAGAAAGTTATTTTCAATCTCTCTAGGCCACAGTTTCTTCATATGTAAATAAACATAACAGTATCTACCAAACAGGTATTATGAAGACATAACAATATCTACCAAATAGGCATTACAAGTTGCTTAATATAATGCCTAACACAGCTAGCAGGATCTATCATTTCCCTAATAAACACACTCGTCTTAAGCAATTTAAAAGTAATATTCCTTTTGTCTTACACCTTATAATCATCATTTTATGCTCCTTCATAAGCAAATTCCTTTAAGACTTACTAGCTCTCTCAAACTAGGTCATAATCTAGCATCTGTAAATCTTAATCTCCTCATCTGAATTCTAGTACTTTCAACATTTACCCTGGGATATTTACCAAGCATCCTAAATTCATTTGTGTAAGTTCTCAGGACTGTGCGAAATTAGTGGAATAACATAAAAATGTTGCAGATCACATTAAGGTATTTTATTATTCATATATAATATATATGCAGTAATACGTGTAGTAATGTATTATATATAGTAATATATAGTATTTTCATTAATATCATAGAAACATATGCCTGAACCAGCTTATGTATCACTTTATGTTCCTCTGATTAACAAATTCAAGAAGGTAGTAAAGACTATAGAGGGGTACTGACTATTCTCCATGAGCAAATCTTAGAAGTTCTTAGATTTTGCTATAAAATGGCCTGTGATTTCATGACTTTTTATTCATAATTTCTTCCTTAGAAAGTTCTTATTCCTTTAGAAGAAAGCTAAAATAGTGTAATTTAGTCTGCAATATCACTTTTACAGTACTTGATGAACTTCTCATGGGTGGGGGCTCCATAAATTATCAGACTGACATATGATAGAGGGGGGAAATAATGAAATCCCTCCCCAAGTGAAAAGTACAAACCATTTCTGAAGTCTGTGTCAGCCAATTATCCCACATTATCAGACTTGTCATTAGAGAATTATACATACCTGTTTTCATTTCTTTCAGTCGCCTCTGTGAAACAACAGCAGCAAAATTTCTTCCTCTGAATGTTAGCAGGCTACAAAATGTCCAAACAACAAACAACACTTAAGCATTTTTAGTGTGCCATGATATTATGCTGATAGAAGAATAACAAATAAGATGAGAGGATTTGGGAGATGTGGCAGTGGACTACTACTCAGCTATGAAACAAGATAAACTGTTGCTGTACATGACAACACAGGTGAAACTGGAGATGTTGCTAAGCAAAGTAGGTTAGCAGGAGAAAGAAAAATACCAGCTGGCTTCATGGCTAGGTGGAGTATAGAGAAACAAAACAAAAGGTCAGATAAAACCAATAACAAACCTTAGAATTGAGGCTTCCAGAGAAGGAGGATATCAGAGAGCAAAGTGAGGAGGGGACAGTGGACTATGGTGGAGGACTATGGGTGTCTTTGGGGGGTGGAGTGCGGTAACATATACCTGAAAGATGTGTTCCTGTACCCTTAAAATGACAGACAGTGGTTTCAATGTTACCTCAACAGAAAGTTTTTAAAAAGAATAACAATGAAAGCATCTACCCCCAGATCAGTTTGGCACATAAACAGATTACTTAGGAATGTATTCTCATTTTCATCTATTGCATACATTAAAAAGTATACAGTTTTTAAGTGTTTCATCGAATATATAACCATTCTCATTAACTTTCATTGCATTTATTCACTTAGTATATATAGCTCATTATTTGCCAGGCACTTGTCCAAATGCTAGGGATATGATGGTGAAAAAGACAAAGACCTGCTTCATGACGATTACATTTTCTAGCAGGAAGGGAAAAGATAAAAATAACAAATGTCAAGTACAGATATGTGACATAAAGAACATAAAACAAATGGCAGCCAAGTGCTTTAAGTGGAGATCGTGAGAGGAGCTATAGCATGGACCCTGAGCCCATAATGTTCACCTACAAATCCAGGCTCTACAAACCAGCATAGAACACCTTCTCCACACATCAACTTTCCTGCTTGTTGAATTGGTTAATAATAGTACTTACCTCATGGGGTTGCTAGATTAAAATAAATTAGTGTGTATAGCGCAACATAATTGTTTCAGTTACTGTCTTCCTCTCTAATAAAACTAGCAAAAACCTAAATATTAAGAATTCACACTAAGAATGGGAATAAACTAAAAGAATTCTGTACCAAGTAATGAACAATTAAACTAAAAAACTGCTGCTTTTTATTTGATTGTATACAGTAAGGAAAATACATGGAAATTAAATGATGGCAACTTTCATCAGCTGTCTTCACACTCATCAGAGCTTTCTTCAGTTTGCTCCTCACTGCTTTCTCCTTCACTCTCCCGGCTACTGTCATCTTCACTATCTTCATCTTCCTCAAGATCCTGAGCTTTCTCTGACACAGAAAGGAAGAAAAGTGCTTAAAGTGTTTAATATTTCCACCCTTTGAGAAATCATAGTTCTACTTGCTTCTCTCTCCGCTAATAATACACATTTTTGGAACTTTTATTTAAGCAGAATGACTGCTAACTGTATGTAGGATCAAATGAGTGACCCAAAGAAGAGTATTTTCTTAGTGGCATAAAGATGTTAGTGGATTTAAAGTAAATTTAAAACATAGGTCTATAAAAGTATTCTTTTATATTGCCAAGGTAATTCTTAAGTAGAACAGAATGAGATTCAATGGAATTTCGTGAATACTGGTTTTCTTTGGAATGGCAGAATAACCCCTTTAACACACTGGACTGATTAAAATGTTCTATTTCCTCTCGAAGAACCTGATGCCTGGTACCCAAGGAGCCTGCTCTGCTTGGGTGGTTCCACTCCACAGAGAAAAGGGAGTCATCTTGTCCAAGCACAGAGGGCAAGATGGTTTCATTAAAACATTCAAGAAAACCACTTAACCTTTTATTAACCATTTCCTGGGAATATATTTCACTACACTCTTGGGATAATGGGCTTTTAAATAGTGACTATGAAGAGTTCAGTGATAAAGAAGGCATTTTAAACTTACCCATCAGCAACAATTCTTCAATAAGTGAGAAAAACTCCTTGGCCTCTGGATTTTCTGGTTCATAGATTAGAACTGAAAATGAACAACAGAATGTGTGTTATAAATGTTTGAGTGTTTCAGCAAACAGGCCCCTCAGAGTGAGATAGAAACTGTCCATCAGGCTAAGTAAAAATGCACAAATCTATAAACACCAATAGTTATACCACAGGCATATGTAGGTGCAAATAGATCACAGTATGTTTTATTTATCTTAGGACTTTGTTAATGTCCTCATATTTTCTCCCTTCTGTCCAAAGAAAGAATGTAATCTCCATAATTATGAGTCTTCCTTCATTGGCTCCTAGCAAAAGTGCTCCCAATTATACCATTCCCAGTCAAAACATGAACCCCTGTAAAATATGGAGATTTTTGCTAATGAGAAGGTTCTGTGCCTTTTTTATTTTTTAAACAAAATCTCTTCCATGTTAGAAATGCCATTAAAAGCAAACAAAACAGGCCCTCCTTGGTGGTGCAATGGTGGTGCACTATGAAGCTATCGCATCCACTGCAGCATGAATTCGATCCCCAGCCATTGAGGTGACCCACATAGCGTAACAGACCTCTCCTGACCCAACCACTGCTCCCCTTAGCAGTGTATTTCAGTAGATCTGCCTATTCTGTTCCCTACTCTGTCTCTAGTGAATCCTGTATCTCTGGCCTGTATCCCAGTTCTGTATGTATAAATATCTACATCTAAAAAAAAAAGTGTTTAAAACAAACTCATCTTTCAAATATGGAAAATGGATTAGTCTAGCACTTCATTCTGAAAATGTTTACCCTAGAGTTTACACCCCAGGCATCACCTACTTATCATTCTCCTTTGTTTGCTGGCCCTTTGCTTTTAATAGTGTTTATTCCTTTGTGAATGTGCCACCCTTCTCTTGGACCATACCAATATATATTTTTTTAGGCTTGTTGGTATGACCAACATCCCAGAGGCCAAAAAAATTTACACCTTTTGTTTCAAGGCTTTCTAGATCACTTAACTTACTTTTTCACAATTTACTCTACATATCTGTCTAACTTTTTACTGCCTTTAGGGTTTTTCATAATACTGTAGCAATCCCGAGCAGTATCTTGATAGCCCCCAGGGGGCACTGAAATATTGTGTGCTATTGGCCTAAGACTAAGACTAAAGATAATTGTGGACGGTTCAAATAGGTCCCAAATCTAGTTTTCATCTTGACTCACCAGGCCAAAGACTTTATTTCCTACTCCATTAATATAAATTTTAATGCTATTGAGGCTATAAAACGATGTCCCTACTCAGAAGCTATTTTGGATCTTAAAGGTATTTTTACATATTTAAAAAAGCTACTTTTTATAAATTGTAACTTTGACTAAAACATGCCTTGACCATTAAAAGTTTAAATCTGGCCCTCCCTGGTGGCGCAGCGGGTTAAAGCACAGCACTGAGAATCTGAAGCCACTTCCGCATGAGTTCAATTCCCGCCTGCCCCGGAGGAGACCACATGGCGAGCCAGACCTCTCCTGACCCGCCCGCTGCTCCCCTCAGCAGTGTACTTCGTCGATCTGCCTGTTCTGCTCCCCACTCTGTCTCTGGTGAAGCCTCTCACCGCCCCTGAGCCTCTGGCCTGTACCCCAGTTCTGTATGAATAAATAAATAAATCTTTTGAAAAAAAAAAAAAAAAGTTTAAATCTTCCCTGCGTCTAAGACTTTCTGGGGTAAGGCTTTTCCACCTTGCTCCTTGAGATACTAGTTTCCTAGGATGTTATCACATATTTAGGAAACTATTTTAAATGAAGTTAACTAAGCAAAAAATTACAGTAAAGAAAAAATACAGTATTTTATAGACCCATTAATATGCTTTAACTACTATGAACCTTACAGAAAGGAGAATGTGGTTTCCCAAATTTATTATTCCCATAGAATCCTTTTTAGTGGAACAATTAATAAGAAGTGTTAAATTAGGGGGTCCCCGGTGGCAAAGAGGGTTGAGTCTCAGCACTATCACTGCTGAGGCCTAAATTCAAAACCTGGCCAGGGAGCCAACACACAAATGGTACAGCAAACCTCTCCTATATCACCCACTGCCCCACTTATCAGTGTATTCAGCACATCTGTCTGTTCTGCTCCCCACTCTGGCTCTGGCGAACACTCTCATGCCTCACACCTCTGGTCTATACCCCAGTTTTTCTATACAAAAATAAATAAATCTTAAAAAGATAATTATTGAGTTAATATACCTTGGAATACATTTTAGAAAACTTCATATTGGAAGTAGGATTATTCCATGAGATTAGAATATGGGATCAGTTACTCCTGTGGTTTAACAAAAACTACTGACAATTGTCAAATTTCAGAGTAGGAGAAAGGTATCTGTTTCAATTTTGCTCAGCAAAATCCATTCTAGTTACACAAATCAAAAAATTTTCTTATTTTTTTCACAAGTTAGTAGGGCTTATTAAATGGTAACAGAATCTTCTAGTATAAGCAATTGGTGTTCTAGGAGTTGTTTCTCAACTTGGACCCATACACAGAATCCAGTGTAGACCCCAAAGAAAGAATGTGAAGTGTGAATCCTGGTTCTGCCACAATCTAGCTGGGTTACCTTGGGGAAAATTTAGTATCTCTGTATCTCAGTTCCTTTATCTACGATATTAATGACCACACCAAGCTATTTTGATAATGTAGATAAAGTACTAAAGAATGGGATATACTAAAATACTAAAGAATGGGATATATGAATAGAAACAATCAAGGTAAGAAGCACTCACCATTTCTGTGTATGGGTCCAAGTTGAGAAACAACTCCTAGAACACCAATTGCTTATACTAGAAGATTCTGTTACCATTTAATAAGCCCTACTAACTTGAAATAGAATAAGGTGATTTATTTTACTTAAAAATAAACAGAAAATTTTACATGGACTATCTCTTCTGAAGACTTACCTATATTTGCATTAGACCTATAATGATAACT